GAGCTTCGACACCGGATCCTCAAGACGTACGGCGCCGCGAAGTTCCCTGACCCCAACGACCCAATGGGAGGTGCGGGGCAGGCGCGGCCGGACGATAGGAGCAGGGAGTCGTGGGCCGCGCGGCTGTGAGTTTCTTCCTGGGCCCCGGCGCGCCGCTCGCCAGCATGAGCTACGACCGCGGCCATCACCGTCTTCTCGGCCCGACGGCCACCCTCTTCCAAGTGGAGTACGCGCAGGAGGCGGTGAAGAAGGGCTCGACCGCGGTGAGCGGCGAACTCTGCGCCCGGGCCGGGCTGGGCGGCTGGAAGCAGGCGGTCCCGGGGGTGCTGCTGGAATCGGGGCGGACCGTGGCGCGGGGGCGCGGGAGGTGCGGTGAGCCGGCAGGGGCTCGGCCGGGGGGTCGGGGGAGGCCCCCGGACGTGGGTGCACCTAGGAATCCGCGAGGCCCGGACCGGTCTCTCTGCCGGGGCGGGGGTGCACGAATCGAACGAGACTCCCGGCAGTGGACAGCAGGGGGCTCTGGAGGGCGCGTCCCAATGAGGCCCGGAGGCGCTCCCCCGGCCAGCGGGAGGCCCGGGTGCTTCCTGCCACTGAGCGCAGGCCGTGGCCGCGCTGACAGTCTCCTCTTTTCTGTCCGATTGGCCTTTGGCAAGTAGCGCCCTGGCGTTAGTGGGACACGGGAGCCGGGCGTCGGTGTCCCGGAAGGAAATGGAAAGGGCACGTTGTGCACTGTGGGTGCCCGGGCGGGGAGCGGCAGGACAGGACAGTCTGATGGGACTGCCCTCCGAACACGGTTTTCAACAAGGGCTGTTGAGGGGGTGTTAGCTGGTGATGGGCAGGTACTTTGCAAACTAGCAAATAGGGTCCGATTGATGAGCTTCAAGTGCCACCTTCCTCTTGCCTCTCGGTAGCGCAGAGCAGGCCTAGGCGGAGACAGCCATCTTGCAACCCGCCGCCCCGCCCCGCCGCGGCCCGCTAGTGCCCGTGTGGCCGGGTGTGGGCTGTGCTGAGGCCCCTGCATGTGAGCAGGGCCCGGCGCTGGCTGCTCACTGGCTCTGTGAAAGTTAAGTAAGCAGGTGACTGAAGTGCATCCAATAGGCCCCAGTTAGGGGACTTCCCTCACCAGGGAGAGCCCAGTCCTCGGTGCAGGTGGGCTTCCAGGAAAAAGTGGAGGTTCTTGGTGTGAGCTGAGTGGTTCCCACTGAGCTGGAGGTTCCCCCTGGTTCTCCTCCGGGGTGGGCAGTGCGCTTGACCCACTGTCCTGAGCCGGACCTCTCATTTTGAAATTCATGACGTCGTTGTCAGTTTGCTTATTGGTCAGTTTTTCTTTTATTACCTGGTATTTCAGAGATTTGAGCCAGCAGACCAAAGAAAGCGCACAGTTCTGTGAATTTTGATGTTTCAATTTCTTGAACATTTTTTGAAATTAAGATCAGAATCCATCTTGTGGCCTAACTCAGCTTAAAGAGCACTGGAACGAGAGTGCTGGCCCTCTCCCCTGCCCCCATCTGATGGGGCTGGCTTTGCTTAACCACCTGGCACCTCTGGGCCTGCCTGCCTGTCCTGGGGCGCTCTGAAGATCCCTGATAGAGTAGGGGAGACAGCACCTTGAAATCTGACACTGCAGACCAGTACTTCTCCACCACGTCATTTTGCACCCCCAGAGGCATTTGGTAGCCTGTGCAGACATTGTTCATTGTCCAAGACTATAGAGGGTGCCTCTGGCAACTAGGGGTAAACACCTTACAGTGCACAGGCAGCCCCCACCTCAAAGAGTTAGCGCCCAGGCTGAGGAGCCCTGCTCTGAACGAAGTGTGGATGTTGCTTCTCTGAGGGATTGACCCCATTTGTCTGTACCTGCATTGCTGGGGGTCAGAGGTGGGGTGGGGGACTAACACGCAGAAATTTTAATGCATCCTCCCCTGTTCAGTGTCAGCCATAAACAGTGCTAACCTCCCAGGAATAGGGGTCCCGGGTTCGATTCCGGTCAAGGGCATGTACCTGGGTTGCGGGCACATCCCCAGTGGGAGATGTGCAGGAGGCAGCTGATCGATGTTTCTAACTCTCTATCTCTCTCCCTTCCTCTCTGTAAAAAATCAATAAAATATATTTAAAAAAAAAAAAAAAAAAAAAAAAAAAAAAGAAATTTTAATGCATCCTCCCCTGTTCAGTGTCAGCCATAAACAGTGCTAACCTCCCAGGAATAGTTGGTACAGGTGTCCTGCACACATGCAAAGGGTGGGTAGTGGTTTAGGTCACAAGCACAGAACCACGACTTTCAGGACACCTGGCTTGGACCCAGGGTCTTGGGCTGCAAGGCCTTTCGTATGACTGATTCAGTGGGTTGAGTGACACACGTGCACACTGATGACACCGCAGTTCCTTGTTAGTGGTGTTGTCATTGAAGCTACAGGACTGGGCACAGTCACGACAGCTGGGGGAGCTCTGCCACAGCAGATAAGTAGCCGTGGTTGGCCAGCATGGCGCCCACAGTGATGGCCTGGGACCCTGAACACCTGCTCAGAGCTCTGTGCCTGCTGCACACCCTCAGGTCACTTTCTTAGTGCTGTGTTGGTTTTTCTTGAAGGTTGGCGTTCGAGGAAAAGACATTGTTGTTCTTGGTGTGGAAAAGAAGTCGGTGGCCAAACTGCAGGATGAGAGGACAGTGCGGAAGATCTGTGCCCTGGACGACAACGTCTGCATGGCGTTCGCAGGTGAGCCTGGGGCCAAGCAGAGCTTTGGGAGATGTGTGAACTGGGTAAACCCACGTCCTTTAACCCTTTGCAGTCCAATTTTATTTTTGGAATTCAAACAGTCTGGTCCAAATTAATTGACGGGATTGAATGTTGAACCGGTTTGCGGTGTCAACCTCAGCCTCAACGTTGGACCTGCTCCTAGCCCCTGGTCTGTCGAGTCAGCATCCACGTTAGATCGAAAAGGGTTAAAGCAATGGATTTGGGCCTTTAAAGGGTTGGCCATGGTTTCTTGGTGAGGAGGCTCCCTGCCCCTGGTGGCTGGAGCAGAGGCTGCAGGAATGGCTACCCCAGGACATGGGGCTTTGCTGTCTGTGGGGCGCGGTTACGGTGTTTTGGCCAGGTTCAAGCCTCGGACTAATGAAAGGACAGGGTCCTCTCATTGCCACGTGCAAGTCCCAGCTGGAGGTCAGGGCCCTCCCAGCACAATCATAGCCAACGGCTGTGGTAGTTAGCTTGAACCTATGGTCCAAACACGTAACCCCATGTGCCTTGTGCTAGAGTTCAGGTGCATATAGTTGAGTGAGGTTGGAGCTCACGAGAATGAAACAACGTGATCACGCCCCTGCTTTGCCTCGTGGCATCTGCTATAAAATAAAGACACGGCTTGTGAGCGCTGTCGTCGTCTCCTCATCAGGGAGGCAGCGTCCCACCGAGACCCAGCTATTATTCTCTTGTCTGTCTTTTCCTTAATCCTTTCACCCCTCCCCACTCAGTTTACCTTTGGCCGCAACAGCTGTCACCTCCATTGTCATCGGCCTGTCCCTGATTATAGTTACTGTCTAGAGAGAGGGCAGGCTTTCTACAGCTACTGCGCCTGTGCAGCGGGGCCAGCGGGAGCTGTGTTCTCAGCGCTCTCCTCCCTTGGTGGGTGCATTTGGGGAACATACCAGTTCTCCTGTGCTAAACGAGGGTGACTTGCCTGATTTCACGGGGCCTGGCACACATAGCTCTTCATGAGCCCAGAGGCTGAGCGGTCCACCCAGCTGGGGTCAGTGCTGCCAGTGGACCCCATGCTGGGCTTTAGAGCAGCGGTTGCCAACCTTTCGGACCACTGGTTGGCGACCGCTGCTTTAGAGGACTGGTTTTGAACCCTTGCTGTCTGCTCATGTGATCTGTGTCTCTGATCGTGGCCATGCGGTGATGCTCTCTGCTGTCCTGTAGGCCTTACCGCCGATGCGAGGATAGTCATCAACAGGGCACGGGTGGAGTGCCAGAGCCACCGGCTGACGGTGGAGGACCCGGTCACCGTGGAGTACATCACCCGCTACATCGCCAGCCTGAAGCAGGTAGGCCCCACCTGCGGCTCGGCTCTGGACATGTGTGGTCACTACTTGGTCCTGGAGGGTGTCCTGCTGTGGTGTCGGTGCTGGCACACGTCCCTGCAGGAAAGTCGAGGCCTGCACTCATCCGGTGCCCAGCCCTGCTTGTGCATGTGTTTGCTGTCACTTGCCCACGTTGGTGGCATCGTTCTTGTTGATGGGCATGGGGCAGTCCACATGCCTATTTCTGGAGGGAAGGGATAGTTTTATCTTGCCATTCTGAGTGATGGTCACTAAGGAGTTGGGAGGGGCTGGAAGCCACCCCTGCCCTAAGGTGAACTGCTGGTCACCTTTCAAACCAGCTGTGCAGCCAGAATGTGTGTCTGCTGTCCCACCCTCCGCATGACCTCAGCTGTGCTCCATGGGGTGGCCCTGGGCACAGCCTGGCTGGCTGGGTGAGAATGCAGAAACGAAGAGAGGGAGCCTCCGATTGCGATTCTTGCTCATCCTTGGAAGTAACCTGAGGAGGGGACCTGGGGCTATCCTCATCCCTAAGTGCAGTGGAGACTTCCCGTGGGCGTGGGCGGGCTTGTGGTGCTGAGATGGCACAGTGACGTGTTCCGTTTCCTATCAGCGCTACACGCAGAGCAATGGGCGCAGGCCGTTTGGCATCTCAGCCCTTATTGTGGGTTTCGACTTTGATGGCACCCCCAGACTCTACCAGACTGACCCGTCGGGCACATATCACGCCTGGAAGGTGAGTCCCTGGCAGAGAGGGGTTACAGGCTGTGTTGCCACAGTAAAGGGGCTTGGGAGGCCACTGGGGGTCTGTGCCTCCCTCAGGTGCGTGTGTGCACACAGCCTGTTGAACAGCACTGTTTGGGAGGAAAGGGCAGTGAGCTATAAGGACTCATGGCTTAAAGTGAAATGGCCACGAGTCTGTCAGTAATGAAATGGTATCTACTATTGGTGAGAATCAGCACAGCCCCAAATAGCCCTCAGCCAACAGAGGGCTCGGGGCAGGGCCGGGAGCCCAGGCTGCTCTCAAGCACAGCACACGGGACGAGCAGGGTGGCGGCTGGCTGGCCCAGACAGTGGCCAAGTTGTTGGTTTGGGTCTGGATTGTCCTGTGACATATAACACTCCCCTCTCAGGCCAATGCCATAGGCCGGGGCGCCAAGTCAGTGCGTGAGTTTCTGGAGAAGAATTACACTGACGAAGCCATCGAGACAGACGATCTGACCATCAAGCTGGTGATCAAGGCCCTCCTGGAAGTAAGTTTGCCTTTGCATCTGGGCAAGCCGGTGAGAACACCCATGCCATGATAGTGTTCCCTGGGTGGGCTGGGTGGCAGGCCACAAGGGTTTGCTCTGCTCAGCCAGCTCCTGCATACGACTGGCACAGTCAGGGCACAGCTCACAACCACACTCAGCCTTCCTGGGGCTCCAGCTACTGGGAGAGCAGAAATTAGGAAGACTGCTGGGAGTTTTGGGGTCTTGGGCTTTGTCAAGACCTTACAGATGCTGGAGGGTGAAGCCAGAGGCAGAGAGGGGCTAGTTGGAGGCTAGGCTGGGGTCCAGAGAGCAGGGGCTTGGTGTCAGGAGCCCAGCTGCCGTGCAGGAGCAGGGACCAGAGACCCAGCCAAGGTCTGACTGGCAGGAGGCAGCGTAGAATCTGTGGGTGCTGGGACTGCAGTGTGCCTGGCCTGTCCCCTAGAGTGGCAGTGCTGGGTTTGGGTGCACAGGTGATCCTCTAAAGCAGCGGTCGCCAACCTTTCAGACCTCATGGACCACCAGTTGGCGACCGCTGCTCTAAAGAACCTATTTGGTCCTGAGGTGGGCGTGGCTGTCTAATGCTCTTCTCTCCGGCTCCTCCCAAGGTGGTTCAGTCGGGCGGCAAAAACATCGAACTGGCTGTCATGAGGCGGGACCAGCCCCTCAAGGTAAACCCATGTTTTTTGCCGTTTTCACAGTGGAGCGATCCTGGGGACGGGCAGGGCAGTGCTCATTAACGCTGCTGTGGCTTTAGCACCAGGCAAGGCTCCCCACAAACGGGTGGGACGCAAGCACGCCAGGGCTGACTGCATGGTCACAGATGGTGATCGCGTGTGCTCCTGGCATGCGGACAAGCAGTCAGCAGCTGTGCAGGTTGGCTTCTGCTTTTCACTGATCCCCACACAGGCCACATGGCCTTGTCGACCTGCAGAAGCAGCTTTAGGGCGTCCAGGAGCCCCCTCCCTGTGGGGGCCTTACTGCACTGGGGCACCTCTTAGGCTGAGGGGCTAACCAGAAACACTCTCTTTGGTAGATTTTAAATCCTGAAGAAATCGAGAAATATGTGGCTGAAATTGAAAAAGAGAAAGAAGAAAATGAAAAGAAGAAACAAAAGAAAGCATCATGATCAATCAAATTCTGCTGGGAGCAATTTTTAAATGCAAATCATGCGTGATGTGAGAACCAATGGATGTTCAGGCGCTGACATTCCATTGTCTGTGTCCTACAATAAACTTCCATGTTTTTAACCTCGCCTTTTTACAGCCCAAGGGTCTTTTGGGTGGATTTATGGTAGCTTTTTAAAAAAAAAAAAATTTTATTGACTCTAGAGTGGAAGGGAGAAAGAGAAACATTGATTTGTTCCACTTATTTATGCGTTCATTGTTTGATTCTTGTATGTGCCCTGACCAGCATCCTGCAACCTTGGCCTATCTAACCAACTGAACTACCCGGCCAGGGCTGGAATTACAGTAGCTCTTGCGGAAATGGAGTCGACCCCAGTGGTCAGTCTCTAAAAGCTTTCCTGAGTGTGAGCTTTCCTCCCTAGTCTTTGTTGCCAGGCTCCCAGACAACAGCCACAGACTAAGTGGGGGTCGTCCCGCACGCAGTGCCAGGGGTGTTAGGGCTGCAGTGCGAGACTGCTGTAGGTAGGCGCACCTGGCACTTCTAACCCTCCTTTTCTTGTTCCAAATAGGTTGATTGTTCCTTTGACCTTTGTTCAAGCTCCTATTTAACATCAGGTCAAGGACAGGAGCACAAACAGCACTCAGTTTAAGTGCTTACCCCAAAATTTGCAGAGCAGCAGTTGTGTTCAGAACTAGCCTTATGTTTATGGTTTTACTAGGTCAGGTCAACATTTCTCATGTTTTCTCTAAGACTTCTGGTGCTTACTGTTACCCACCCTCTTGCTTTCTAATCTTTTTATCCTCACTGAGGATGTTTACTGATTTTGAGAGGAAGGCGGGGGGTACAGAAACATGGATTGGTTGTCTCCTGCATGCGCCCTGACCAGGAATCAAACCCACAGCCCTTTGGTGTACGACAGTGGTCAGCAAACTCATTAGTCAACAGAGTCAGATATCAACAGTACAACAATTGAAATTTCTTTTGAGAGCCAAATTTTTTACACTTAAACTATATAGGTAAGTACATTGTTATTAACTTCATTAGGGTACTCCTAAGCTGGCCTTTGCTAAAAATGTCCTCAATCTGATTGAGGTACGTTCGCTGAGGTCGACCCCTTCCAACTCTCCCATCCACACTCGTCTTGTACACTTGTTTCGTCTATCTCCTTTCCAAAAACCGACTTCTGCGCATGGTTCACGAAGTTTCAATCGCACTCTACATGCGCGCCCGCACATGGTATTTTGTGGAAGAGCCACACTCAAGGGGCCAAAGAGCCGCGGTTTGCTGACTACTGGTGTACGAGATGAAGCTCCAACCAACTGAGCCACCCAGCCAGTGCCTCGCTCACTTTTTAGCCAGAAAACCTATCCTCCTAGCCCAGTGATGGCGAACCTTTTGAGCTCGGCGTGTCAGCATTTTGAAAAACCCTAACTTAACTCTGGTGCCGAGTCACATATAGAAATTTTTTTGATATTTGCAACCATAGTAAAATGATTTATATTTTTGATAATAAATATCAAAGAAAAATCAACCAAAAAAATGAGTTCGCGTGTCATAGGTTCGCCATCACTGTCCTAGCCTCTAGGCCAGCAGCAGTGTAGGTCAGTCTTAATGTCCCTACAGAAAACCCTAACAAGCCCATTGGCCTGCCACTCTGCGGGAGGCTGCTGGTCTTGGTGACGGGTGGCTTTTCGGTCCCTGAGCTGGTTGCCCCTAACAACTCTGCTAGGTTTCTAGGGTCCCCTTTCTGCCTCAGTCAGTAGCTTTCTTACTCCACACTCCCCTTGAGGGCACATGTAATCTACCTTCTAAAAAGGAGTCAAGAGGCCCAGATACTTTAGTCCAGCCTAAAACAGGCAATTGTCACAATGGTTTTCAGTTGAAGACTTGAGCAGCAAGGTTGGTCACACATGGTAACTGAATTGACAATATGTAGAATCTCAGCACAGAGAATATTTTAGTTCAGCTGTTCCCAACTAATTTCAAATTCGTGCCCTGGCTTTCTGAATCTAGCATGTGCACCTGGGAGGATTGTTTTCATTGGTCAAGGATGTTAGTTGCAAAAAAAAAAAGTTTGCCAAAAACTTGTCAAACTATGAGTGACAGCCAGGCCCAGACCTCAGAGGCCTGCTGCTCAGTCCAACTCTGGGCCTGACTGGACCACAGGCAGGTACGGAGGGAGGAAACAGCTGACCAGTGTGTTGCTTCTAAAGTCACCCAAAACCCATTAGAGTGGAGGGATGCTTCAAAGTCTGAAACCAGCCTGTCTGCTGCTCTGCATAGTCCAGGACCCATTTCTGAATCAGGTTCATTTGTGAACCGAGTTCTAGAAACTACTTTGTGTCACGAAAGCAGAGCCACTCATCCCAAAAGGGTGGCCCATGGTGAACGGGCCTGACACTGCCTAGTCCAGCTGAGACAAGAGCATCAGAGGTCCCCTACGGCAGGCCTGTCGAGTGTGATGGGGTTCAGGCAGAGTCAACAGGACCACTTACTTTCAAAGCAGAGAAGATTTTAAAGTTTGCGTGTTTATTTTAATTACAATATACATTACTCCAACAGAGCAGCCCCACTGCTACATTCTAATTCTTAGCCATTAAGTCCTACAAAAATAAACCAAGCTTTTACAGTAACTTAATACAGAACCAAAATCTTTATAGCTGTCTAGGGATTTAGTTACCAAGGTGCTTATGTTCACCAAGATGCCCTGTCTTCAGGGGGGAGCATGCTTGTACTAAGGTGACCCATTTACTCATGCAACAGTTTACATCCCACCTCCCTCCACCCACCTACAAAACAAACACAACTATTTACAACTCGGAGCTCTGTCAGCCGAGCTTGCAAAAAAGACTGGCTCATTTCCAAGTGGATGAGACTTGAACAGTGGTCTGAGTCCAACACTGACTGGCAGGACAGAAAGGATGGGTATGCCACCCCAATCCTCATTCCTATGGAAGCCAGGCTCTGAGTAACAGCTCCCAGCTCATGTTCAGGCCCCTTCTGTGCCTCCAAGAGTGCCAGCCTGCCAGTCCAAACCTCGACACCACCACCCTGGACATCAGGTGGTCTGTCTGCTCACACATGATCTGCGGGAACTCCACTTTCCCTGCTGGGGCCCACCCGACCCCACACCCCCTGGGCTGGCCCTGCCTTGCTCCTGAGGCCCACCAGTGGCAGTGGGGGTACCAGGCCAGCAGCATGAGCGCCAGCTGGGTGACAGAGCTGTGCCTGGCTGCCACACGGTCCACTTTAAAAGTCAAAGTTGTCCCCCAAAATTTTTTTTTTCAAAGTGAAGATCAAGCTTTCGCTCTAGAAAACTTTTTGCAAAACACCAAAACCTTAGGTAGACTGTGCATAACTGAAGAGGAAAGACCCAGAGACCTCAGAGAGGTCACCCTTAAACACTCCCCGAACATGAGCAGTTCTAACTCGGACCATGTCCAAGTTCCATGACGTCAAAACAAAAGTAATAAACGGTGACCCAACGCCTGTCTGTCCAGTAAGTGCAGCGTCCTCACTCGACTTCGTTTCTGCCGCTGCCTCTGCAGGAGCCTGCAGGGGGAACATGACACCACATGAGTGTGCTCAGCAGGCGTCCCCCCATGTCAGGCCAGGGCTTCCTAGACTCCCCCATCACAACCCACCAGGAAAATTCCTTCTGTACGCATGCCGTAGTAGGCAGCTCTGGGTCCCATCCACCATGACTCTCTTACCACCCAGACCCTAAGGGGCACACACGTCACTCGGGACCTTGTGAAAAAGGTAGGGCCACGCTGCACCGAGACCCTGGCTTGTCACCAGCTCTCCTGGCTGACCCCCCTCCCCTGAGGAACAAGCACCCGGCCCTCCTGCACGGGAACCCACTTTGACAACGCTGGGCCCAGGGTCCCCAAGAGCCCCCTGGAGATTTGAGGGCGGGCCTCACCTCTGCGCTTCCTGAAGAGGCTCCCTGCAGGGGTACTGCAACCCCATGCCCTCCCCTTAGAGGACCCCGCAGGTCACCCACTCACCTCCGGCTGCTCTTCACACCCTGCCAGTCCCGGCTCTGTGGGAAGTCGGGTTGCGCCGGGTGGTGCCACTGCCCCTGCCCCCCCGCAGTCCGCCTCGGAATCCACGGCCACGAAGAAACCTTCCTGACACCCCAAAGGTCTCCGTGTTGAGCTTCCTCTCCTCAGCCCACGTGGTCCGCCTGGAACTGAAACAGACAAGGGCTGTGAAAACTGACTGCAGGGGCAGTCATCCCAGCTTTCTCAGCCTGGGAGGAAGGACAGTCACTGTGTTCCTGGAGCCATTATTTGAGGGCAACCCAGCTGGCCCCCTGCAGTTGGACAACCAACACTACAGGTGCTCCAGGCCCGTTCCTCATGGGACTAGGCTGCTGGGCACAGAGCTTACGCCTCTGTCCCCCAAACAAGCCCGTGACACTAGTGCACTCCAATGGAAGCCACCTGCTTGCTGGGCTCAGGCCTGCACAGTCTCCAAGGCCTGGAGCAGACCATGGACCCCCCCAAACAGGTTTCTACCAGATGAGGAGGGGCTGGGTTAAATGGGCAGGGTCCCCAAGGGTGTGCTTATACTTTACGGGTGCTGGGGACCAGCACAGCATGGCTCCAGAACCCTTTGAGCTCCCCAAGCACCGCTAGTAAATACCCGCAGCTGTTAACAATCCTCCTCATTTAAAGAAACAGCAGCTATGTCCCAGCTGCCACTGAGGCCAACCAGCTCTCCTCACATCCTGCCAGCAAACCATCAGCCCCACCTTCAAAGCAGTTTAGAAGCCAAGCCTCTCTCCATCCCCAGGCCCAGTTGAGACACCTGAACTATTGGGAAGTGGCCACCTGCAGCCACTCTCACCGAAGACCCACGTGGTAAAAGGTCAGGTGGCTTCAATCCTGGGCTCCCAACCTCTGATAGCTGCCTGCCCTGCCCAACAGAACAGGCTTGGAGACCTGCTTTCTTGGCCCATTTCGAGTCACCGCCCGGTTCTCCTCAATGCATTTCAATCTGTGTGTATCTTGCCCCTCCGCATCCACTCGTCCCCGCCAGAAGCCCTCAGCGCAGGCGGTGAGGAGCCCCAGCCTGCTTTCGGCTGCACCCTCTGTGCTCAGCAGTGCCTGACACTCTGCTTGCCAGTGGAGGGATCAGAGTTTCTGCAGCATGCCGCTCAGATTTCTCTCATGGTCTAGCTTGTTCACGGGGCAACACCTGAGTAACCAGCGGTCAGGTGCTGAAAACAAATCACACGAGGGGTGCCAACCTCAAGCGTCAGGTGAAAGAGCACCCGGAACAGAACACTCCTAATACGCAGGCTGACTCAGGTCGCCAGGGCCTCAGGCCTCCAGGGTCAGCTGGGAATCAGGAAGAAAGTCCATAGTCACTCGGCTGGGGGGTGGGGCCAGCCCAGCCTCAATGGGCAGGGCAGAGAAGCCAGGAGGGAAGTGGGAGTGGGGCTCGGGCAGACCCCTCAGTGCCTGTGACTGCCAGGGCCTCCCATGCTGCCACCACGGGATGGATGCGTCCACTGTGGCAGACATGTGAGTAGGGCCCTGAACCTGAGACCTGAGTGGTCACCAAGAGAGTGCGTCCCAGTCCTGGAAACTGAGGCAGTGTGTGTTTTCCCACCAGCTCACCCGGACCCCCACCCCTCCCACCCCTGCCCCCCCACCTGGTCTTGAGTTCAGAGGAAATGTTGTCGAAGAAGGATTTGGACTTGTCATAGTAGCAGTTGGGCCCCAGGTGGTCCTCCTCAGCAGGGGCCTCGTCATTCTGGGTCACCACTGCCGGGTCCTTCTCTTCCCCCTTCTCAGCTTTGTCATCTGCACAGAGAAGTGGAGCCCACTGAGTTGCTGGAGGCAGAAAAGCACCTCTGTCCTCGGCAGGCCCGCTGTCACTCAGCAGCCAAATGACTGCTCTGTGCTAAGTGACTTCTCCCTCTAGCCCATGCCATCCGCTCTAAAGGGCACAGCTCCCACACTAGCCCCCATCACCACCACCCCCATCTCACGGCTCCAGCTGTCTGACCCACTCTGTGGATACTCCATGGAGAACAAGGGAGATTTCCACATAAGGACTCAGACCTTTAAAGTTCAGTTTCTTCTTGAACTCCTTGTCCAGTTCCTCGCGGTTGAACTGGGCGTTTGCACTCTCAAAGTCAAAGTCCCCCTCAAACTTGATTGTGTTCTCCTTGATGTTGGTTGGGCGGCTCTGCCCTCTAGAGCGATTCCTTGTTCGTCTGTTCCCTGTGAGGAGAAACGACAGTCATGGCTGATGAGCCACCAACACGATATTACTGAGTGTGAGACAGATGACAAAGAGAGGAAAAGAGAGGAGAGCACACTGAAGCCACCACTGAGCCCTAGCACCCCTGAAACTGTGCCCAGAGAAGCAGGCAGGGTGGTTGGGGGTGGGGGCAGAGAGCACGCCCAAACGTGGCAGCAGCTGTTACCTGATCTCCTCCTCTGGGGCCTCCTGTTCTCGTCGTTCACCTGCCCTGGCGTTTGCACAGCGGCTGGCTGAACTACATCTAAGGCGCAAAAGGGGATAGTAAGGCAAGCGCCTGCCAGAGCAGAAGCTGGGAAGGAAGCAGGTGGCACCACCCCAGGGGACATGCGGCAGGGGCCTGCCCTGCAAATGCATGTGGTGTTTGGGAGGGGCGCAATTTCTTTTACAAAGCCCCCAGGCAGCAGCGTGCACAGTGAGAAGAGGGAGTACACCCCAGGGAGCGAGTGTTTCAGTACCGCTGGCACTCTTGCTGCTTGGCGGGGCAGGGCGCCCGTTGAGCTGCACCCCCACAGTGCCCTTGCCGCCAGGTAACAGCTTTTTGGCGTTCAGGTTATCAAGAGAACCAGTCTGGACAGCCTGCTCCACCATGGGGCTCTTGCCAACTGGGATGGATGGAAAACCAGCTCCTGAGTTGGGGAGAGAAGGCAGATTGACAACAGAGAAAAGGAGAAAGTTCCCCAGTCCCCGCAGACACTTCTGTTCAAGCCGGGGGAGATGCAACCACCCAGAGAGGGTCTACCCAACCCAGCCCAAGCCCCCTCAGCAGGCCGCCCCTCTGCGGCTAGCCCTGGCAGCAAGGCCAGCTCAGCCTGGAAGCTGAGCCCCAGGCTCTGTTAGGAAACCCCTCAGAGGGAAAACACCTGGCCACAAGGAGCACCTCCCAGGTGGTCTAGAAATGGCTTTCAAAAACCACACAAGCTCTGACCCCAAGGAGGCTTGGTGGTCCCGAGATGCTGTATGAGGATTTGTTCCATACTGGCCCACGCTGAGCAAGAACCATCCCAGTCTGGGACTGTCCAGAAAATGCAGTGGTCAGCCATTGGAGTTAAGCTCTTGGGATACTGCTGTTTTTGCGTAAGGCATAACAAAGCAGAAAAGATGAGTAGCGCTGACTACAGAGAAGTGCGGCCTGCGGTGCTCTCGAGGGTCTAGGCTTGTCCTGAAGAACGAAGGCTTCCAGGCTGCCTTGGGCAATGGAGCTGCACTCCCAGCCCTGAGCACAGGACATACATGCTCAGAAACCGAGCCTCACAAGAGGGTCCTCTAAAGAAAGAGGACCGAGGGATGTGCCTTACTCATCAGCTGCCTACTCCCCTCTCACCCGGTCCTGGGTCTGTGGGTAGAAGTGCACCAAGGTCTGAGACAGAAAAGACCAGCCTTAACCTTGGGGTCCTTAGTTCAAGAGGGGCGGCCCAGGACAAGTGAAGATCACAAATTTTTTTCCAACGGGACAAAAACCAGAGAAATTACTGTGACAAATTCCTTGTCACCCGATCAAAGTACTCCTAGGGCTGACTGGAACAGCCTTGTCACAGGCAACTGCAGTGTCCCTACAATGGGCACTGCCCCAGAGCACTTCCTCTGGCCTGTCACCTCCCCAGCACAGCCTTCCCTGAGCTGCACAGCCCAACTGAGTCCTCACACTCTAGCACACAGGCAAGAACCTTGGGCCTCTGCTTTCTCTGACACCGATGGAGCAGTTAAACCATCTTGCCTCGGCAGTTTTCAGGGTCCTAAGAACAGTGTGTCTGTGTAACATTTAAGGAGGGTGAAGCATCACTCCTTGGTACCGCAAATGCACTGGCGCCCGTGCAGGGCACATGCAAAGCACAGGCTGACAGGCACTATCCTGGACCGAGTGAGTCTCCACACGGTGTGGGCAGAGCTCTGCCCCCAGTCATGCATGTCAACTCCAGACCCCCAGCAAAACACAAAGAACCAATGCCAGGCAAGGCCAGAAACCCCCACCACCAGCATTAACAGGCCGGACATCAGCCCACACTGTTCACCTGTCAAGAGCTTGGGTTGGTCACCCAACTTTAAAGCGGCTTCATCGTACTCAGCCATGTGAGGCCCAATTTTGATGAAAGGAATGTTTCGCAGGTCCCAGAGCTGCATGCAGCTGCTCAACAGGCTCCCCCAGCAATCCAGACCACGGAGGACCGGCCGAAAGCCAGGGGACAGCCCTCTGAGCAGAGGGCAGTGCCCACACGTGGCAGTGACAGCACAGCAAGCGAAGGGCTCCCTGGTCCTTTCTAGCCCTTCTTTAAAACCAGAGTTCCTAAGTCAGGACCATGTGCTGAACCAGAAACGCAGCTTAACTGATCCACAGGCTCAGCCAATTCTGTCACAGCCACTGTCCCTCTGGGCTATCTATGGTTTACCCGCCCCTGCTCTCAGGATGCAAAGACAGCGTGCAGTTCTCCCAAACTGCCGTTACCCTTGGAAGTGAGCTGGTGTGGCTCTGAGGACATGTCAGGCTCTGACACGGGCTGTGGAGATGGAGAGGAGCTAGGGCTGGAGGCTGCGGCTGAGGCTGGAGGGCTTACCAGCTTCTCTAAAAGAAGAGAAAGGAGAGAAGAGCAAAAAGAAAGGGCACAGATAAGTAATGAGACACTTGTCTTGCATTTAGCAGGCTTGGAAAGAGCCAAGCATCTCTCCTAGGACACTTTGCTCACACAAACCTGTTCTAGAAACACAAGGAGCCGGGCCGAGAGGGCACCGCCACACTAGGAGCAGCAGTCAAGACAACAGGACTCAGAAGCAAGGGACCCACACAACCGTCGAGGGCCTGATCACACCCTATCGCCAGAGCAGGAGCGAGGTGGGTGAGGCTGCCAACCCCATGGCCTGACTGCTCGGAAGAGCTTCGGCCAGGCCCAGGCAGACCCTCACTATGTGTTGGGATAGTCTTATTCCAGGGTTATCAACTGGGGGAAACAATTTCTGAGCGAGGCATCGACAGGAGAATGAAGAAGAAATAACCTGGCAGTGCTGTATTTCAGTTTCACATTTACAGGCTCACAAATGTGCAAGGAGTCAGACGCACTGTGATTACACCTGGAAGTTATCAGGTCTTTGAAGCAATGTACCACGGCCTCCCCCAGACCTGGGCTGACACCAAATGAACGTGGATTTGGTTCACCTGTTCCAGGACCCAGCCTTGCTGCCTCCCCTACTCTCAGTGAGCAGTCACTGAACGTCCTAGCACTCGAAGGACAGTGTCCCCATCAGAAGCTGAAGCCCGCTTCAGGAGGCCACAGCACAGCAGGTTAAAGAAAGAAAGGTTACTCACCTAGACCCAAGGAAGCTGCATACTGCTGACTGAGCAGGGAGCTGGCGGCCAGTTGGCTGTAGGGCGGCATCCCTCTGAAGGGGCTGTAAGGCACGTGCGGCTGGAAGGAGGAGCCCGAGCCCAGGGAAGACTGAGCAAGGGGACACACAGGTGAGAGCAGCGCCAGGCCCCCATCGCCTGGCCTGTTCAGACAGGGACAGACACCCGGATCTGCCAGCATGCTTCTTGGAAGCTTGGGTGACCCTCAGAGGGGTAAGCTCCCAGGATGGTCTAAGGGAGCTTACAGCTGCCTTTTCTACATTCTCCAGCTCCACCTGCCCAGGTAATTCTCACTCAAATTTCTCCTAACTCAGTTAATCCCTCTAATGGCTCCCCACTGCCTGCATCAGGTAGTCTAGGCTCTGCAAAAGAGAAGACACACCATCCTTGGCTTGGCCCTGCCCCCAATGGGAAGGAGGCCAAGAGTCCCCATTCTCTCAGGCCCACTTAGGGGTTTCTCCCTACAGTTTGTGCTCCAAAGGAGCTGATGAATACTTCATTTACAAGTCAAGAGAAAACATGAACCTGGGCTCCCTGTAATCCTGGGCAAAACACACCATAACACAGCACTGCAATTTAACATCTGGGCAGTTAACAGAGCAAGTCCTGCTGTCCCTGCTAGCATCGTACGCCATGCACACCATCCCGCTGGGGATTTAGACTGACCCAACCAGAAACTATGGACAAACACCAATTCCCTGAGCACACTCACCCCCCTCTGACACTGACACACTGACACACTCACACACACACACACAATACTGATGCTGCAGGAGTTAAGACTTTCCACAGCAACACCAACAGCCTGGACAAAAACTAAACAACTTTTCATTAAAAGGCCATTCCTCGAGTTGAGTGCTCTGGCCAAACAGCCGACACCAAGTTCCACTTGGCCTCCAGCACCCCTCAGAGATTGTCCCACAGGCGCAGAGCCCGCACTCACTTGGACGATGGCAGGGTCCTGAGGGAGAGAGTGCTGAGCTTTTGGAGGTTCACACACTGTGATGTCTTTGATATCGCTTCCCCGGAAAATGATGTACTCATAGATTTCCTCTCTGGGAGGGGCAGGCCTATCTGTGGGACGGTCTTCAGTACCGAAGGACCTCACTTAGGAGCAGAGGAGAAAACACGTTAGTTGTCCCAGCCAAGACCATTCAACCAACCCTTTAGGCTACAGCCCCTTCCTTGGGTGCCACCCATAGCCCAGCATCGGGTTTCCACACTTCAACTACTCCCCCCTCCAGTTTTCAACGGACAAGACCCCAGTTGGCAAAGCTCCAAAAAGTTCTAGGTCACGAAAAACCAAGAACAACTCCCATGCCTGGCAGCCTCACGAAGCTCAATGTGCTCACAGCAGAACAAGGTCTGCTTTGCAGGACCTCCCCCCCCCTCCACATCTCACTTGGCAGATTCAAAGCCCAACAGCTGCTTTTTGATGGGCACCTCCACAGGAGCCCTGGGCAGTGCCCCCTTTTCTTGGAGAGAAGTGAATACATTGACAGAATCGTTTCCGCCCTCCGACCCATGCCAGCCTGGGCGGAGCCTTTACAGAGGGGATCCAGAACTTGACCCGCCCCACCAGCTCCTGTGTCCACGGCGGGGCTTCTCTACCCCAAGGCCCGGAGCCCAACCAGGTCTCCCGAGATCTCCGGGGCGCCCTCTATCTAATCTGAGCACAGCTCCAGCTGCGACAGGAATGTCATGGAAATGTAGCAAAGTGCCCGGAGCACAGGGGAGCGCACAGCCCAGACACTGAACTACCTTCCTGAGCAGCGCCGTCTGCCCAGGACTGGAGCCCGAGGCCCGGCTCCCTCTGACGTCGGAGGGAGCTCTGCCCGCTAGCAGGCCTCTGGCGTCTCCCTCGCCTACCCAGACCCACACCAGCAGGGACTCTAGACCCGGCTGCACTCCGCACTTCTCTGGAAGAGGCACAGAAAGGACACTCGCCATCTTTCTCGGAGGACGTAGACAAAGAAACTTTGAGGCCACCTCCTGCCTCAACAAGCCCAGAAAAGAGCCACAACCCAACCATCTTCCTTCCACTAAGGGTCCCAGAAGGTTCGGCGTGGCTCCCTGCAAGCACCGGTCCCTGAAGGTCCACCCGCAGCCATGTCCGGGTGGCGCGGCAAGCACTTTAAACGGGGCACCTCGCTGCCAAGGCTCCGATGCCCACATGCGTCCCGATAAGACGTGCTATTTACTCGGGCTCAAGGCCACGGCCGCTTAATCCTTTCCAGACGGGCCTGCAGGAGCCGGGTGTCCTCACCCCCGCCTTCTGGGGAGGCCGGAGCCCACTCCCCCCGGGACCGGGTGGCGGGCGCCAGCTGCCCCTCAGCAGGTGGGGAGGAAGCGGCCCAGCCACCGACCCCCACCTGCAGGAGGGCGGCGCCGCGGGAGCTGGACCCGCCCACCGCGACCTCTTTGTTTGAAGATGGTTGGGGTCTCGCTTTAACCGCGGCTGGTGACTCCTTGGGTCATCCCATTCCCACTTTGAGCCACCAAATGACGACCCCCGGAAGGAAAAAATAAGCGGGGGGGGGGGGGGGGGGGGGCATGACAGGCGGCGAAGGGAGGAGGGTGCCAGGAGGGTGAGGGCCTGCGGGGGAGGGGGGCAGGGGGTGTCCCTGCGGGGCGGGGGGAGGGGTAGCCGGGAGAAGATGGCCGAGGGGTGGGGGCCTGCGAGGGAGACGGCCTGCGGGGGGAGGGGTGGTCAGAGGCGTGAAGGCCCAGGGAGGCGATGCGGCCAGGATCCTGCGGGGACCCCGGGGTGGGGGCGGGGGCGGGCCGGCTGTTGGCGGGCGGGGCGGGCGGTTGGGGCGCCCGCGGGCCGCTACCTTTGGCGAGCGCCACGGTGGAGTTGTCGGTGTCTATGGTGTAGAGGATGCCCTCGTAACGGATCTGCGCCTTGGAGATGAGGCTGATCTTGCTGCCCAGGTACGGGGTGCCCGACGAACCACTCATGGCGACGGCCGCCGGCCGGGCCTGGCCCGCTCGCCTCCGCGCGGGCGCCGGGCCGTCCGCTCCACCTCTGTGCGGCTCTCCGCCGGCGGGGAGGCCCGTGCAGCCTGGGCAGCTAGCGAGCAGGCGCGCGCGGGGGGTCTCCGAGGGGGAGGCGCTCCGAGGGGAGCGCGGGGGAGGAGGGGCCGCACAGCCACATCCGGGGCCTCGCCCCGCCCCGCACGCTCGCCGCCCATTGGCTCAGCGCGCCGGCCTCCCTTTAAATATGGCCGCGCCGCCTGCCGGGGGCGGGCCTCGCTCCTCGCCTGCGCAGTCGGCCGCGCCAGTCGCAGCTGGTTTCCTCCCTCTCCCCGCCCTTCGCCGTCGGCTCCCGGCGGGCCCCGCGCGGTGGTGGGTGGGTCTGGAGGAGGGTGGGAATGGGGGTGCGGAACGCGCGTGCGCGGGGCGGGGTGACGCCGGGGTGGGGTGGTCCGGTCCCGCGGGTGAAGCCGGGAGAAGGTCCCTATCCTGAAGGCAGGGGCCGGGGTCGCCCGCGGCCTGGGGTGCAGTGGTAGCTGCGGTAACGAGCACTTCCGGTGCGTCAGTCACTGAATATAACGAGCTGAGCGCATCTTCTCCTTGAACCCTGCGCCTCTCCAAACCTGGGGTGGCGTTCCCTGCGCCTTAAAATAAATACCACCCGCCACCAGGCCTTAAAATAAATACCACCCGCCACCAGGCCTCAAACCCCGGCGGCCCGGGCCTGGCGGACCCCGGCGGTTTGGCTTCCCCTTCCCCGCCAGCGCTCAGCTCCATCAGTGACTGCGCTCACTTACTGTCTGCTTCTCTCTCTTGACTGTGCACATCAGATCAGGGACCGCTTTGGGGTCCTGGAAAAAAACGTAGTGGGTAGTGACCAGTATTTTATAAAAGTAAAACAGACTAAGTTAGAAAATATTAGAGTATTGGTTTGTGAAACAGTTATTTCACTTATACATAGTATTCAGGTACTTGCTTAAGATGTGAATGTGAGTACTAGGGGCGAAGGGGGAAGCGGTGGCAGAGAACTGACCTACTAAGCAAGGTAGGCGTTCTGACTCCCCTTTTCCAGGATAGCTGAGGGGGGCGGGCTCCTGCCCTTTGTAAACCCTGGTCTCTCCCGCACCCAGCAATATCTAGTAAGAGAACAGTAATGAGCCTGAGAAAAGGGAAACGTCTTCAAAATTTATCTGCCAAAATGCACCTGTATGCTCCAGAATTGCTTCTTGGCTCCTGGAAACTCACTGGTGAGAATGGGGGCAGCCCAGCCACAGAGTGCACGCGGCCCCAGTGAGAGAGAACAGTGGCATGGGGCTCTCCCTCAGCACAGCACAACCTTCCTCAGGGGTGCACCTGTCTGGAGTAGGTGTTGCCCAGTTCTCTGGAGCATCTCACATCCTCCTTCCCCCCACTTTCAGGTCCAGAACATGACTTGCCCAAGGTCAAGGATGCTATGCTTCACACCTCTGGCATCTGAGCCAAAGCCTCTGTGTGTGTTGCGGGTAGGCTGCATTCTTCACTAATAGGAGCTGATTCTGTCTTGGAAAAGGAAGTTGGATCCAGAGCCCCAGAACCAGGGTGGGGTGCAGTTCCTGGAGACTCGGGGAGCTCACAAGGCTCCTGGGTGTGGGTGCAGCCAGGTGGCTTCCTGAGGACATTAGCCACAGAGCAAATACCTAGGCAGGGCAGAGGCTTAAAATAGACATGGCACACAGGCCCCAAACACCCGGCCTGCCATTCACCCTGTGGTGTCCTGCCCAGAGTGCAGGGAAGGGCACTTGCCAAAGGTCTCAGAAGGGGAGCAGTTGGGCTGGGACCTAAACTTGACCCAGGAGCCAATTGATGTGGCCTGTGTTCCAGGCGGGACACACTTGCCAAACACCTCCACCTTAAATAGCTCTTCGTGGTGCCCACCCAGCCCCGAGTAAAGGGCTGTAGAGTGGTGAGGTGAGAAGCTGAAAAACCCCGGCAGGTCAGGCTCCCTGCCTCAGTTTCTCCATTTACCAAATGGAGATTATAGCTCACCTGCCTGTCTAAGTGTGGATGGGAGGATCCCAGAATACAGTGGCCGTAAAGGGTTTTGAAAGAGGCCAATGGGCCCACACATCAGAGACCTGGTAAGCAGAGGACCACAGAGACAGCTGGTGAGGTTTCTACTGCAACTTTGAGCCACTTATTAAGTGCCTACTGTATGTAGGAGGAGAAGCAGTCCCTAAGAAGCAGGTGTGCCCTGGCCTGTGTGGCTCAGTAGAGGGTAGCAGGTTGGATTCCCAGTCAAGGGCATGTGCCTAGGTTGCAGATTCACATGCGGGAGGCAACCATTAAATGTGTCTCTCTCACATCGATGTCTCTCCCTCCCTCCCTCCCTCCTCTTTCCTTCCACTGTCTCTGGAAGTTAATGGAAATCCTCACTCCTTGGATGAGGATTAAAAGGGGAGAAAAAAGAAAGCAGGTGCGACTGCCCTGGGTGTCATCACCAGTCCAGCTAGAGTCAGTCACACAGCCAGTATCCTGCAGCAGGTGTCTTAACACCTGTGACTTAACATACAACTTCAGGAACAATGACCACATGACCATTGTTTTCACAGGTATTGCTTAGTAGGAGCAAAACAGAACAGGTGAAATGATTTTTAAAAATCTTAAAAATAGGTGGTTCAGCCCTGGCCAGTGTGGCTCAGTTGTTTGGGCATTGTCCTGTGCACCAAAGCTTGCTGGTTCCATTCCGGTCAGGGCACATGCCCCCAGTTGTGGGCTCAAACCCCAGTAGGTGTGCAGGAGGCAGCCAGACTATCCATGTTCCACTCTTACATCGATGTTTCTCCCCTTCCCTTCCTCTCTCTCTAAAAATCAATAAAATTATTTAAAATAATAATAGTAGGTGGCCCACAGATAAGCAGAAATCAAGGCAGGGCTCTGAATGTAGGGCTGAGCCAGTGAGACAGGACCTGGCCTGTCCCCTCCTCTCCTTCAGGACCTGCACAGGGAGGGGCAGATGTTCATCACCCTGGGAGCTGGAGCCAAGGAGTGGGAGGGAGCTGAGGGGTTGCAGTGGGCTGGATGGGGAGGTCAGAGCTGGCTTTGAAGGTGTCACTAGAAGATCATGGGGCAGGGAAAGGAGCTGGGAGGCCCAGAGAGGTGGTTCAGGCCCTGGTCCAAGCTGTGGCCCTGGGTAAAGACAGGAAGGAGGGCAGGGAATTTTCCCCAGATCCCACCTGCTCTGAATCCTGCTAAAATTCATCTCCTCCAGTGCGGTGCCCACAGCTTCCTGCACTTCGCACCCTCTCCTCTCCCTTCCCCTTCCCTTTCCCCCTTCTCTACTTTTCCCTCTCCACCTCCTCCCCTCGTCTTTCCTACCCCACCCCCACCTCCCCCTCTCTTCCCCGTGCCCCCATCTGGCCTCTCCCAGACCAGGGCAGTCCACAGCAGAGATGTGGGAGGCCAGCAGCTTAGGGTGCCCCCAGCCTACCCCCACCACCCCACGAGCTCCCCCACCGCTGGCCTTGGGTTCTAGCACAGTCACCTCCTGGTCCTTGCCTCCTGGTGGTTCCATAAGGAAGAAGGGAAAGGATGACATAGTCACCAAGGCCACAGTGAGAGTGAGGAAATGGAATGTGGGATGTTGGCAAGGGGAATGTGGCGCCCGAGGGACACCTGAGCACACTACCCTGCACACTTGGGTTTTGTTTGTTTTTTAATATATATTTTTATTGATTTCAGAGAGGAAGGGAGAGGGAAAGAGATGGAAACATCAATGATGAGAGTATCATTGATCAGCTGCTTCCTGCATGCCCCCTACTGGGGATTGAGCCCGCAACCTGGGCATGTGCTCTTTACCGGAATGGAACCCGAGACCCTTCAGTCCACAGGCCAATGCTCTATCCACTGAGCAAAACTGGCCAGGGCAGGGTTGTTATTATTTATCAATAAACTAGAGGCCCACTCCCACTCAGCTCATCCTGGCTCCGCTATGCCTGCTGCAGAGGTGGGAGGGGCTCACTCCGCTGCAGCTGTGCTCGCAGTGAGCCCAGTGTCTGGTGCCTCAGTCAGCTGAGCGGGCCACCAGGGGGCAGCTCCTGCGTTGAGCGTCTGCCCCCTGGTGGTCAGTGTGCATCATAGCTACCAGCCGGTCTTTCGGTCGCTTAGGCTTTTATATATATAGAAGATAGTTCTGAAGATCAAATGGCAATTTGGATGGTTTCATGGCGGCGTGTGCCCCAGTGGAAGATTCTGGATCACTGTGCATGAGTGGACTTCAGCAGCACAGAGAGCAGAGAGACACACACAGTGAAATGAAGGGCCTAATCCCTGTGTCTAGAGTCCCAGGCAGGCCAACACAGGTAGGCTGTTAGATGTCAGGATGGCGGTCACCAGGGCCTAATGGCTGGGAGAGGCTTGGGAGTGAGGATTGGGGCTTTCTGGCTGCCTATGGGTCCTGGTTACTCAGGTGTGCACATTCCATTTGTGAAAATCCATTGAGCTGAATACTCATGACCTGAGCACTTTTTTGCACGTGTATGTTACACTTGGAACCAATACTTTACACTCTTACTAAGTGGCCACGATGGCCAGTGTGCACTGAGCCTGCTCTGTGCCAGCCCCAGTGCAGCCGGGCCACGCCTAACTCCTTTCCAGTCCTGAGAGGTGAGAGAACCAGCCTGGGCCATGGCCACACAGCCGGTGAGTGCCAACCAGATATCCTGCCTCACAGCACTCAGTGCGGGACAGAGACCAGCAGCGACATCTGCCACAGAGGCCAGTGGTCCTGAGGCTGCAGCTGGGCACTGGAGGCAGTGAGTTGAGAGGCTCCCTCCTTGCAGTCTGTCCTCTCTCAACCCCATGCAAAGGATGCAGGATGGGGCCTAGGGAGTTGCCAGAGGATGTGAACTCCAAGGCTGGGCACTTGTCCTTGGGCCTGCCTGATGGTATATGAGCGCTGGCCTGGCTGAGCTGCAGCCCCAAGAGTGAAGTCCGGTGCATAAAGTGTTGGCGGGGGCCAGGGGAGAGGGTCCAGGCGTCCCCAAACCTGTCCTCCCCTGACGGTGTCCAGTCCCACAAGTACCCCCTTTCTGTGTTGGTGGT